TGGAAGGGACCTTAAAGATCATCTACTTGCAGCCCCCAACATTTTAACTGCTATAGTGCCTATTCCACTCATAGAACTGTGCATTGTGTCCTACTGCCTAGAGTTTTGCTGCCTGTTTCTCAGCAGATAAGCTTAACTAAGGGCCCCTGTTCTCCAAGTTCCAGCATCTCCCAAAGCATCCTTTGTCCTTAATGGGAAGTATGGCGCATCGCCTGCGATTCCCAGTTTTCCCTGGGTTTGCTTGCACTCGCACAGATTTGGTAATACTTCAAAAGTGAGGACTGCGTCCCAGTTCGTCAGAGGCCCCAGGTTTTCTTTTCTGCGATAAACTTAACCTTAAATTGAAATAAGTTTCTTTTTAACTAACAAAGCTGATGTGTGAAGTTATTGATTACAACATTAGATTTACAAAATAAACATGTTGGATGCAAGTGATACTTTTGAGCATGTCTGGGGCTTCTTGTTTGTTCCTCAAGTCAGGCAACCTTGTGCTGTCAGGTTTTTTTTTAAATCCTTTGATCTGTGACATTGTCAAGAGTGTATCAGCTGTAATTTGTTCATAACTATTCTGTGGCAATACTCTGTGGAATTCATGTGGTCACAGTGCAAAGCAGAGGCAAAAGGGTTGGTCTTGGTCTGGCCAGTGCTGTCATTTAAGAAGAGGATACTATTTCTGCGTTGTTTCTTAATAGAATTTGTTTCATTTCTTTAGAATTTCCTGGCTCTTTGTGCTAGTAACTACTACAATGGATGCATATTTCACCGGAATATAAAGGGCTTCATGGTTCAGACCGGGGATCCGTTAGGTAAATTCTTCTGTCCGGTTCTCTCCATAGAAAAAGATACATAAAAAGAAAATGTAAGTTTAAAAAAAATAAAATTAACCATATATATTGAAACCATCAATAAATTAAAATATAACAGTTACTGTATTGTTGATGGAGGTATTTCTGGTGAGATTAAGCTTTCTGAAGTGAGCCAGAAATGAGAGCAGCTGTGACACTAGTTCTAAATAATTGTGCAGTAGTAAGGCATTCTACAAACTTTAGTTTATCCAGGTGTTTCCACTCAGTGTGATGGTTCTGACTTGTCAGCTGTTGAACAGGTAGGAGTTGCTGCTATGGTTTCTTCCCAAAAGGCTATACTGCCCCTAAAGCATTTGGGGAAAATGTCCTAAAGAGTGTCAGCTGTTTGGAAGAAAATCTGGTTCAACTGTGTGTCTGTTTGTAATAATACTTAATTAAATTTGAGGCTACATCAGTGGTTGGTTCTGCTGTTTAATAGGTGTTCCTTGTGTTTTGTCACTGCTGTGTATCAAGACATGAGAATCCAAGCTCTTCCTCAAATGAATTATGGGCTATCTTGGGTCTTTGTTGTAAGATGCTGTAAAATAACAGTACATAATTTCTGGATTTTTCAGTCTGAAAATGCAGTAATCTATTCTGGTGCTTCTTTGTCAGGCACTGGGAAAGGAGGTAACAGCATCTGGGGCAAGAAGTTTGAAGATGAATTCAGTGAATACCTAAAGGTATTTCTGTGCTTTCAATATGCAGTTACATTTTCATACAAATTTTCTTTACAGGTTGGAGAATGAGCAGCATTGTGTTATGCTGTATTAAATGTCTCTTTTGTAATTGTAAAGCAAAGTCTAGTCCTGCAGTAAAGGCATAGAAAGCTTGTTATTAAAATAGGAACAGGCATTTCTGTATTTGGCAAGTTAGGTTTGAGGGTTTTCATCACTGAGAATAGAAGAAGAAAGAACTTTTGACAAAGTGTGTTTCATACACTGGAGACGAGGAAGTAATTTTTCTTTGTAAGAGATTTTGAGCGAAATGTGGTCAGTAATGGACTATTTTAGCAACCAAGATATGATTTTACCATGGTTTTAATGATGGTTCTAAGGCAGAGTACTAATTCACGGAGCACTTTGTACACGTTAACACATCTGTGAAAGCAGGACTTTTTTCATGTGGAGTTTTTCCCCTCTTTCAGCACAGTGTCCGGGGTGTGGTTTCAATGGCAAACAATGGTCCGAATACCAATGGATCGCAGTTCTTCATCACTTACGGCAAGCAACCGCACCTTGACATGAAGTACACTGTGTTTGGCAAGTAAGTGACCCAAGTGCGTGCCTCCTCACTGTAGTGATCTGTGATGGATCTGAGTATTTCAGGGCACATGCAATGCAAATTTGGAAGCTTCTGGTTCTAGAATCTTTAAAATATCGTATGTGTACATGTAAATGTATGCTCTTTCACTGTCACCAGAATTAGTTGTTACAAAATGCTGTACCCTTTTCTTAGTAGTAGGGAATTCAGTGGGAAGAGGTGTATTAAAAATTACCTCAGGAATGGAGCTTCCCCCCTGCCACACACACACACGGAGTTATTACAGCATGCCTTTTCATCTGTGCCTGTACAGATGCAGCCTGATTTTTAAGCCAACTCCAGAACAACTGGATACATAGTTGTGGAGTTTACCCAGAAGGAAGAAAGAATCTGATTTGAATGTGGTAGTGATATGGTCATGCTTCTGTTTAGGTGGAACTTGCTGTTGGTCAGATTAAGACTTATGGAACTGACAGTGTGTAAACTCAGGTGAAGTTAAGGTGCATCATTATTTTAAAACATTCTGATGTTAATAGACACTACTGATAATATATCATCCTTAAAGCAACTTTTTGAGTCTTTCAGATACTGCTTCGTGTATCTCAGAATCATGGTAATATCTTATCTTTTGCTCGTTGTTAAAAACTCTCTAGTGTACAAGTGAATCTGCTGAAGAAAAAGTTGCCTTTATTAAATGGAGTTAAATATTCAAAGGAAACTACTGCGATGTAAAAATACTATTTTCTACCACTTCCTTATTGACATTTAAGTGTTGCTTTTTCTTTAGATTTCTGAGTTTGTTTAGAAGTGTGATTGAAGGTAGGTTTTTTTTAGACACCTTTCTTAGAAAAGAGTAGCAGCTCTGACAGATGAACTTTGCCAGATGAACTGCCAGTGGCAATTCAAAATATTCCTGCCCCAGTTGCAGTACCAGCAGAACAGCATACGTGTCTCTGTTGGTCCACAGTCCAGCATCCTAGATTGAAAGGGGTGATGCATCTGACTGGATTAAACTGTGAACAGCACATGTTTCTACCCATTCATTACTGGGGGGAAAAAACCTGCCAAGATTTACTGGAGCTTATTAGACAAAAATCAAGAGGTATATTAGAACAATCTCTCTTGCCACTTCTGCAGCCGGAGAAGGAAATCTGAAGGCATAAACCTGTTTGTGTCATTAGATTTACACAGTTGTTAATGATTCTGTCCAATCTTGTCTTTGAGTCATAAGGTTAGAAACGATAATCTCACATTTGGAAATTGATTTTCCAGCCACAGGATTTTAGAAATTCACAGTGAGGTTTGGTATGGCCAGCATCTTGCTACTATTTAAGCCTATACTATAAGTCAGTCCTGCCTGCCGGGAAGTGCAGCCAGGGTCTTTACACAGCTATGGCTGGTATAAGATATGATGATACTGTCAGGTCAGTGGGAATTATCGGTATAGAATCTGTCATGGATGCTTACTATTTCTTTTCAAAAGACATTATGTGCTGTACGTAGTGTATTGGCTGTGTTATTTGTACCATTTGCTTCTGAAGTCCTTGCCCTATGACACTTAACTGTAAAGTGCTTTGAGATATCTCAGTTGTTGAAATTTAAATCCTTAATAGAAGGTGATTCCTGGCACTTCTGCTTTTCTTCCAGAGTTATTGATGGCTTGGAGACCCTGGATGAGCTGGAGAAGCTGCCTGTGAATGAGAAAACATACAGACCTCTTAATGATGTTCGCATTAAAGACATTACAATTCATGCCAACCCTTTTGCTCTGTAGCCACAGAGTGCCTCGATACATTCTGTAGGGACAGATCAGATTGACTGCTGGATTACAGGGTTTAAAGTATCTTTCAAAAGGGTTACCTGAGATGGATCATACCTTTGCTCATTGAGTGCAGGATTTTCAGGAGCTGTGACATTGTTTAGGAGTTGTCATGGAGGAGTCTTGTGTTTTAGAAGCCAGTTTTTCCAGAGTATCATCCAGGATTTTGATTTTTAAACATTGCTTTTTTTACTTGTAAAATAAAAGATGTGAGAAGATACGGTTTTTTGCAAATCTTTTTCTGCCTTAATTTTTTTTAGTGATACTGTATTGAAACAATATCCTTTGATACAGTATCACACTAATGGTTTTCTGACCCTTCCTCGTGTAAATTCTAACCTTCTTCCTTTGTTGGTGTTTAGAAAAGTGAGTAAGAGATGCTGTTTTTTTCCCCTAGGTGAGAGCAGTGCAATAGATAGATGAAACCCTTCTCTCCTAGGGGATTGAAGACCGTGTTTAGAGAACTGCTTGCTCTTGTCCTGCTGCGTTGAAATGGTAACCTCTTCAGCCTCCCCAAAGTGTGGATTGAAAACAGTCATTTCTGCCTCTGGCGCAGTGCTTTTGGTATGAAAGAGCGTTTGCATCTTTACACAACTGTTGATTGAAACTAGGTAACCATGGGTTTTCTGTAACTTGCTCTACATCACTTTATTGCACAAACAATGGGGTAAACACAACAGAAGAGTGGTGATAAGACTGTGGTCAGGTTTCTAATCAAAAATACCCAGACAGGCCTAAAATCATAAAAGATACCTGTGGCCAAGATAATGTTGAACAAATGAGAGCTGTTGTTTGGGCTTCTTTGAGACCAAATGTTGCTGGATTTAGATAATTCCACAAGAAGGTACAGAGATACTTGGGACTATTGACTGGTCAGGAAGAAAACCAAAATGCATGTGTACATATGTGGGGGTGTGTGTATATTGCTGATCCTGTGTTCAAGGCAGTACAGTAAGTATAAAATAAACCGACTTAGGGAAAAGAGAGTGATTAGTAGATGTCAAAAAGGCAGTTCTGCACCTTGGGCATACTGGGAAAAGCTGTGTTCTGCTCTTCTTTGTTGTAGATTTAAAAAGTGCGTTTTGGCATCACTTTGTTTTTGTAAAGCAGGAAAAAATCAACTAATTTCCACAGAGGAAAACTCTCTGACTTTATAATACGTAGAGGTGAGAAGGTATATTTGTAGTTCCAACTGTGTGTGGCCAGGGGGTAGTACCTACAGTTCTTCATCCAAGTCCTGCCATTCTTCCCTCAGATCCTCTTTGAGCTCAGACAACATCACTTGGCAAAGTCCATTCTCGTATACATGCCTTATAATCCTTGGGAGGTCCAGGTCCAGCTGACTTGCAGTCTACTTCAGACCACTTTTTCTCATTTGAGACTTTGCTTCCTAAAATAAAGAGGAAAAATGACCTGCAAAAGAAAGGCAAAGACATGCCAGGTGCAGGTTACTGAGGCATGAATGAGCAGAGTTAATTTGTCTCTAAGGCAAAGTTTCTGTATTCCTTATGGAGTGTTGCTTAAAGCTCCTAGGCCTTGCTCCTGACTTAATACATTTTACTATAATGCTTCAGTCAGGTAAAGGATTTAATTATTTTGGCTCTGTACTCTTTCTGTCTCTTCCATATAACCAGTGGTAATAACAAGTGGACAGAAGCATGCAAGTGCATTTATGACTGACAGTACCATCATGCAGAAGGAAGGACATACTGGAAACTTGCCTGTGGTGCAAAGGAACCAATAATTTTAAATGCTGACATCTAGCTCCAAACTGGAAGCAATTTCAGATCTTGTTTTTTGGTTTTCTTTTTTTTTATTTATTTTTTTCCTTCCACAAGAAGAAGGCTGTTCCATAGAATGTGTGAAATGCAGGGACACCAAGCAGTTGGCTCTCTGGAAGATAAATTTAGATCCTTCCTTATGTAAAGCTGTGTATTGAAAGGAGAGTGATTTTATGGGATGGGATTACATACTAACTTCTAAAAATTGTATTATGGCTGTTTTCCTGTTTGTGGCTCTGAACCTCTCCCAGGTTCTCCCTGAGAACCTGGAATACAACAGAAAAATGAATGGTGGGGTTGGTCCTTTGCACTTGTTAAAGAGAAAGCAAGACAGAGATCAGGAAGTAGCCCAGCTATGGAAGTGTGTGGCTTTGTGGGCAGTTGCTGGGTATGGCATATCGCAGTTTAGTTCTTGCACCGTCTGCTGTTGTGTCACCAGCTGTTTGGACTTTTGTGATGTATATAATCCTTTAAATAGCAAAAATGTTGCAGATGGGCCTGTTCTTGTTGCTGTCAACTTGTGATTTATAAACTCCTGTTTACTTCCATCAGTCTGGTCCTTTCTCACAAACGCTAGAGCCACCAAGTGGGCTCTCTCAAAATAAATCTAGCCAGGCAAATTAAAAGTATGTACATTAACATAGCAGTCTTACATTAGGACTGAGATGGAGGGTCTCATCATGTGTCTTCTAGATTGTCTCTGACCTTTGCTGGCATTCAGAAAACAGTAGGTAAAGTTGGTCTTAGAAGTCTATCGTGTTGGGAGCAGTGCTTAGACCAAGCTGGAGAGCAGCGGACAAAAAACTAGCGGTGCGTTATCTATGGAGAGTGACAAACTTGCATGTGTCATGTACATGCTGTGTGTTAATCACACAGGGTCAGTTGGGGGTGGGAAATAAAAAGAGTGAGGAGGGTCATTTATCAGAGGTGGAATTGTTTCAGAAGGTTTAGCCCTTTGCAGATTAAAAAAATCATTGGGCTTTAGGGAACTGATGTGAATAGGCTGTTGTAGTGTTTCAGGACTATTTTATCCTCAGATGCTCTTTTTCCACCTCCATGAGATGGCACATGAGATGCTTAATTGCTTGATGTGGGTTTGGAGGACCCAATTTCTGGCGTAATGCTTGGTTAGCTCTGCTGAGGTGATGGTTGAAGACGGTGGATGGGCTTGAAAACTCCTTCTGAGGTAAGTAGTGGAGAGAGGGTTACAGCAAGGCACAGGGGAGGTGAGAGGGATGGTTAGGACTGTTGTGTGTGCAGTAGTTGGAAGCAGCAGAGGAAGCATGCTTTAGTTTTGTGGGAGGCTGGGGTTGATGGGTTTGTTTTCATTCTGTGGGAGGAGTGATGTGTCCACTTACTTGGAGAGCTCTATTTGGTGTGCAGGCACGGGGGGGTCCAACTGCTGAGGCAGGGCCTGGGTGGGAGGTGGAGTGTTGCACAGCCCCACAACGCACCCCTTCAGTGACATCACAATCATTGCTTTGTGATGGGCTCTCCCATCTGCAACACACCGAGTGTTTCTAGGGGTTGACAGTTGAGACTTGGAGCTCGGCAGTGGCTGAAGGCGAGAGGACAGGAGAGGAGAGCCGGTACGGAATGGACAACTGGTTAGGAAGGCAAGAGGAGAGCCAAACTGAAAGGCAAGAGGTAAGATGGTGCAGAAGGCAAGAGGGGAGCCGGTGCAATTGGGAAGGGACGAGAGCCAATGTGGAAGGCAAAAGGAGAGTGGATGCAGAAGGCCAGTGGGGACCGGGTGTGGAAGGCAAGAGGGTAACTAGTGTAGCTGTGTAGCATCGCTGCAGCTGCTGCTGACCTGAGGTGCAGCAAGTGATCTAGGAGCGGTTTATGGTGTAAAGTGAAATAGAAAGCGCTTGGTGAGGTATTTGCCGTTTCTTCGAGTGCCCTAACTCAGAGGTAACCTAAGTTTTACCATCTTTGTGACTTAGCTTTAGGAATTCTCTGGGAACCTCTAGAAAGAAGCATGGTTGAAAGCTTACTACAAGTTCCTTGAACCCTTTAAAAGCACCCTGGGCAATGTTTGTATGTAGACAGGAGCCTACCTTTTTCCTAGCACACATGCCCTTGTGTACCTGAGCAGCTTAGCAGAGGAAAAATACAGTCTTAATTATATTGTTAATTTGATCATTAATGGCTTTGAAAATAAATCTTTTGTTTATGGGATGTAATTGAAAGAGGAAAATATCTTTGTTAAAGATGCAGCGTTCTGGTCAAACTAATGATCCCGACAGGGCTAAAAGAGAAAGTCTGGATCATAAAAGAAGTGACAGTCCTTGCAAGAGGAAGAGATCAGGAAGTAGTGCACAGCAGAGCAAGTACTGCAAACTTACGTTTTCTAAACTTCCTGACAGGTATTGAGCTTGTTGATTTCTGGTATCAGCAAGCACGTGTTTTAAGATATCATTATTCCCATGAGCTCATCTGAAACCTCTTAAAATCTCCCTATATCTATTTCTCTCTTGAAATATTTCCATTTTTGAGTTGGAGATATTTCAAGAGAGATGATTTAAGGTTTAAAACAAAAAACTGTCTTGGTAGGGGTGCTAGGGTTATTTTAATTATTTCATCCTTTGCTTGTAGTGTCTTTTCAGAAACCAAAGCTGGAAATAAAAGAGACAGTCATGAACAGCATGATGTTGAAAAAAGTGTGGACAATACACAAGATGCTACCACCTCTCAGCATCAGTATTCACAGGTGCTGTGACCAGTTTTAGGATTTTTTTTATTTTAAGAAGATAGGGTGGTAGTGTGGGGTTTGGGGAATTCTGTCAATGATATTAATAGTTTATTTCTTTAGCTAGTATTATTCTTTCAGGTAGGATTTTATTTGCTTCAGTTGAAAGTGCACATTTGTAGCTAAGCTTGTGATACCACAGAACATGGTCTTGCTCTTTGTTCATTGGCTCCATTTGAGCAGATGAATGAAAAATAACCATTCATTGGCATACTTGAAATAGAGGCATCACTTCCATGCCTTCAGAATTTTTATTACGACAAGCGTTTATTTCCCTACCTGAAAATCCAAACACAAGCTTTTAAACTTCCTTTTGATTTAAGCACCTGAGTGCCTGAGTATCTCGCTGCTGACTGAATTTCGTACTCCGATGTGAATTCACTTGGGCTTATGTATTTTTCTGGATGATCTTGGTGCTGTTCCAGATGCATCCTTGAAGGAAAACAGCCAGGAGTGCATGGGATGATGTGAAGGGTCACCTGATCTGTCAGAGAGGAGACATACTAAGTGCAAGATCTATAGGATATTTGTAAATGTTTATTAACTTCTCAGAGAGAATAAGTTCTTGTAGCGTAAGATGTGAGGGGGCTTTGGAAGTCTCTTTCTTTCTGCCTTAACTTCTGTTGTTTGAGGGTGAGGATTGTTCTTTTTCTGTAGGACTTACTTACTTAATGTTTTTCTTTCTTCTTTTTCTCTCCCCCCAAACAGTAGCAAATGAAGTTAGTGAACCTACAAGAATGAGATCCCTGTAAATGTGCCTTGATGAGAATTGTTCCCTACCAGCTCTCAAACTGCATACTTATAGTTTAAAGGAAGCACAATCTGTAATAGCATCAGTAATAGCACTTAAGTATTTTTGTTAATTTTGTTTGCTTGTATTTGTGGGGTTTTTTAAATACCTGAGTAATTCCACAACTTCTGTGACTGAGAGTTTGTTATAGATGAGTTTGCTGCTATTTTGGGTGAAGGTGCTTTTGGAAGAGTCGTGGAATGCATTGATCACTAAGAGTAAGTATTTAATGCAAGTAGTTTTTCTTACTCTCACAGCGTAGTTCATGAAGTGCTTTCTGATCATCCCAGGTTGTATCTTTGCTTCCTCTTATGCTGCTCTGTGTGTACTTCCTTAAGGCTGTTGCTCCAGTTCCCAGACACAAGTGTCTGTTATTACATCATGCTAAACCAGTGCCTTGACATGAGAGTTGTGCAGGACTGGGGGATTGAGGCGATGGGTGCTCCAGCCTGGGAGAGGTTATGGGCTGGCAGGGGGAGGTGGCCTGGATGATGTGGGATGAAGCTGAAGCCCCGGCATGGGGCAGTCCCGGGGCCTGCACTGTGCACCCCAGGTCTGTGTAGTAAGTGAGGTCTTGGATCTGGGGTCTAGCCGTGAGCATCTTGTAAATCAAGAATCCGTTTCGTGTTTGATGTCAGTTTTGCCATGTGCGGAGTATGAAACTAGACTGTCTTTCTAGTGGCTGTAGAAGGCATTTGACCCCTCCGTTAGTTACTTTTTCACTCCTAAAACAACAGGAGGCAGCATGTCATTTTTAACTGATGGTCCTGTTAGGCTGCAAGATGTGTAAGTAAGTTTCCCCAATGGTAGCCCAGCATATATAAATACAAAGGGGAGGTAAATGGGCCTTTTAACCTTTAAGAATAAGACAGATATATCAAGTATGTTTTCAGCATTGAAGATTAAATTTTAGTTCTGTTTGTGCACAGATGAGCCCTGGTTATGTTGTCAGTATGTACTTAAAATATCTTTTCTGATAAGGCTGCTGTTGCCGTAAACAACATACATGGTGATAATTACTGAATTTCATCCTAGAATCATGGAAATGGTTCAGGGTTGGAAGGGACCTTAAAGATCACCTTGTTCCAACTATATTCTGACTTGAAACTTCTCACTGTTCTAATAACTGTTAAAACCTGTCTTTTCAGGGGCAGCAGACATGTTGCTGTGAAAATAGTAAGAAATACTGACATGTACTCTGAAGTGGCTTGTGAAGAAATAAAAGTTCTGCAGCATTTAAATGCATCAGATCCCAGCAATAAGTACACAAAGCCACCTGCACTTTGTTCTGATTTGAGATTCCTGTGATGTCACCACCTGTAACATATGGCATCTGTATCTCCTTGTTACACACTCTCCTGCTGCAACTCCTGTTTTCCTGCTTTTGTAGTCACTGTGTCCAGATGCTGGAGTGGTTTGAGTACCACGGTCATGTCTGCATTGGTTTTGAGCTACTGGGGCTCAGCACTTTTGACTTTATGAAAAAGCATGGCTTTCAGCCATTGAGCGTGGACCACATCAGACGGGTGACATACCAGCTTTGCCAATTTTCTTCTTGCTTTATCTGTTAACTTTTTGTGAAATGTGCTAACTGTATTTGTTATCTTGCAGTTTTGCATTTGAACAAGTTGATGCATACAGACCTGAAACCAGAAAATATTTTATTTGTGAAGTCTGACTATACAGCTGAGTATAACCCCAAACTGGTAAGTTGCTGTCCTCTTCCTCCCCCCGCCCCTGCCATTGGCTGGGTTCATTTGGCCACTTGCATCCCACTGTGTTTCATTTCAGACACATGATGAACGTCAACTAAGAATTCCAGACATCAAAGTTGTGGACTTTGGGAACGCAGCATATGATGATGAGTACCACAGCCCTTTGGTGACTATGAGAGACGCCCAAGCTCCAGAAGTTATTCTAGATCAGTAGAAGTCTGTTAGGTTAAAGATCAGCCTAAGATGATTTACTGTATGGTATTGAACCATGCTTTAGAAGTGTCACGGGTCCTGCTTGAGCTGCTGCCGCTGGATATTGTGATGAGGTATGAACATGAACCTTCTGCATCTTCACAGGACTGGGATGGTCACAGCCTTGTGACGTCTGGAGCATAGGTTGTGTTCTCAAGCAATATGCTGGAAACTTAATCTTTCTGGTAGGTAACTATGAACCTCAAAATGATGCAGCATGTATAATGCTGCTCAGCTGGGTGAAAATACAGGGAGGTAGGGACTGTGGGGAATGGCTTCAGAAATGAAACTGCATTTCTCTATTACACCAAGCAGAAGAGAACAGAAGCTGTAGGAACAAAGGAGCTTCTCAGAAAAAGATTCCTAGAAGCTACTTTCAGTAAACATTTTGGCAGCAGCTTGACACAAGGATCACCCTGTTAATATTTGTAATTTCCAAGTCACGCTAGTAAGACACAGCTTCATCTGTCACCATCAACAAATACTACTCAATACCCAAATTCTGTCATCCTGACAGTATTGCCAAAACCTGAAATTTATAAAGGAGAGAAAAAAAGGGGTTCAAAGGAAAAAGCCTCTGTCCAGATCACTGAAACCTATTGGAGGAATTGGATGCCTGCAGTCTTTCTTTTCTCCTTCACTTGAAATTGATTATGGGGTGCAGGGTACTGTCAAAACCAAAGTAAAGTTAGTGGTTGGTTCTTGACAACTTCCTCTAACACTGAACAAAAATATCCACCTTGATTTCCCTCCACACCCGGAACAGCAAAGAACACCTGGCAGTGATGGAGCAGGTATTGGGGCCTTTGCCAAGTCACATGATAGAGAACAGCAGGTAATGATGTTTTTCCATACCTGGACTGCTGGAGATTAATAAATAGAGATACTGAGTTTTGGTTTAATAGCAGTTTAACAAAAAGTACCATAAACTCAGGTTCTTCCTCTAGGTCTGTTAACAAGCTGCCACTCCCAAGCTGTGAACTAACATGCCAGTAACCTTCTAGTGAAGGGATAAACCAGAATCTTTGAATAACAAACCGTGGTCTGTCTGTTTAAGGGAACGTGAGTATTTCAATTGCAACCACTGGACTGGGATGAAAACAGTTGTGCTGGTCAGCACGTCTCGAGGCTCTGTAAGCCACTGCTGGTAACCAAAGGGAAATTCTTTTGAGGAAAGGAGTTTTTGGTGCAATTTTAGGATTAAAAGCCCCACATTTTGACATTTGTTCCTGAAGGAATATATGACCTGATTCAGAAGATGCTGGAGTACGACCCTGCCGAGCGCATTTACACTTAGAGAAGCGCTGAAACATCCTTTCTTCTTCCTACTGAAATGGGAAAAAGGGTCACGATCTCCTGCAGGTGAGGAGGCTGAGAACGGTTTTCCAGCAAAGAAATGTGAAAACCAAGCACATTTATGCTATTTTTTTCTGGATTTATATTAGGACATTTTGGATATTGCAGTTTCATCCAGCTGCTGAAATAAAACTTACTTAAAGAAAAATGATGAACCTGGCTGCATTTCCTCAGTGAATAACCATGTCAGGACACTTGCACTTTAAACAAGTAGATAATTGCAGCCCTTAAGTGTAAGGATGGCCTTTATTTGTTTCAAAAAAAAAAAAAAAAGTTACAAAGTAAGGAAGATCACTGTAGGACTGAATGAAATATCAATGATCTTTGGGATCATTTTTTTCACTTTATTTTATTTATAATAGGTGTACTCTGGTTACCAGTATTTCAGTTAATGCTCATTATTAGCTTACACCAGTATAGACTTCATTCTTTTACCAAATATTTTTCTTTAATTATGAGCTGTCCTGAGAAATTCCATTAAGAATGCAAAGTTTCACGGAGCAGATAAGCTGTTTGGTTTAACATGTCAAGTGCCAACATAAAACAATCTCTAAACTTCAGGGGGAGGGAACAAAGTTTTGTCTGCCTTACCTTCCAGCACTCTCACATTTACACAGCAGCTCAAGCAAGCTGATCCCCTGGCTGGCTCGAGAAAGCTGTTGGGTGGCTGTGTGGGGAACAGTATTGCTTAGACTGCCATGGGAGACATGGCAAGGCTTCCCCAGGAGCTGCTGCCCACCTCTAAGGTAGCGAGACCCCTCTTGGGCTGTGCTACCTATGAGGTGTGCAGGCCACAAGCTGTAACAGGCAGCAGGTTCAGAGATGCCAGTCATTGTACCCCTCCAGCACCACCCTTCACTGCCACCATAACAGCTTCTCTCCAGGAGGACACAGAGCTCCGTCCCAGGAGTGGGGCGGCTGCCTCACCCAGGAGCTGCAATATTTTATGCTGGAAGCGTAGGCAAGACGTGACAAAGTCCTTGGGGAGCTGGAGAACCACCAATGAACGAGACTACCTGGCACATATGTTGCACACTGACATGTCACACTGAATTACCACACAAGCCCCAGCCTCCTGGCTTCAGAGGCTTCTTACAGTTTCATTTGCAAACAGAACTGCCATAAATCTCATTCACCATAATCATGTCTACTCAAATACAGATAGAAAACCCAAGGAGTAAAATGGATGTCATTGTGGAAGGCCTTAAATTACATTATTACAGTAGAAAATACAGGAGGTAGAATAGAACCAAAAGGACAAATGCAGGTTAGAGTCAAAGCTATAAGAGCTCCTGTAAGCTACTTAGAATATGGTTTTAAAAACTAAACCCAGTATCTCAATAACTATAGAAAACAGTTAAAAGAAATTGCCATGAGAGCCCTTATATCATGCTTGATACAAGGAGGTAGGATGTAGGAATCAGAAGGGCACGAGACATGACACTTATCTACAGCTCCTGTTTGCTTTGCAAGGACAGAGTTTCGCAGGTCAGTCACCCTCTTCAGCTTCAGACTCCGACTCTGGAACAGAGAGATCTTGTCAACAGGCTACCCACAGGTACACCCCCATGTCCAGCTGCTGCCCTGCGTAACAGCTGCTGTTGGATCCACATGGATTGTGCTGGCAAGCTTTCCCAGCCAGTACCAGGGGACACACCTAGTCTAAGAAGGACAATTAACCACCCCACCTCCCAAACAAGCATTAGTGCACTAAGGTTCCCAAAATTAACAAGCTCAACTTGTGAGCTAAGCTGCTGGTTACCTTCTTCAGCATTCTTGAGCCATTCAACAAACTTTTTCATTTGCTCCAGAAAAACACTCTT